CTCTCTCTGTCTGTCTGGCGAGCGCACGCGCCCTACAGTGAAAATCTCTCCAAAAAAAAAAAAAAATCTTTTTAAAAATTAACTAAGGTGAGGAAGAAGGATAAGGAAAGAGACAGGGAGAGGGAAAAAGAACTCCTCATAGGAAGTGGTCATGCTGCTGCAATCCCTTCTCCTTCACCTCTTCCTAATTTTGGTATTTTGGGCCTGCATGCACACGTTCCTGGCGTGTTTTGTCAAGCTACTAGGTATGGAGCTGTTGAGACTTCTGTAAAAGAAAAGTCAAGTAGGCAGCTTTTAAGATGGCTTCAGTGATCTTTCTGGCCTTTCCTCTAGAGTATGGGCTATGACATGACTTGCTTCTAAATATAACATGGCAAAAGTGATGTTACCTCACTTTCGAGATTAGGTTACAAAACGAGACTGACTTCCATCTTGCTCCCTTCCTTGCTCACAATGGTAAAGCCAGCTGCCCAGGTGTAAACTATAGCAAAGAGCTAAGGCCAGTATAAAACTAAAGCCCTCTGAGGTCAGCAGACGATGTAGTGGTTAAGGGTGCTGGACTCCCACGTGGCCAACGTGGTTCAAGTCCCAGACCTGGTGGTTTGCTTTCTCACTTTCTCTCTCACTCTGTTCCTCCCTGATCAAACTTAAATAAATAAAACAATTCTTTTTCTTTTTTTTTTGGATAGGTTTTTGCTATAGGGCACATGTGCTCGCCAGACAGAGAAAGAGAGAGACAGAAAGCGAGAAATCACCCCTCAGGGGAGATGGCCATGCTGCAATCCCTTCTCCTCCATTCTCCTCTTGGGATCTTGGGCACGCACCACACGCGCCCGGAGTGAGTTTTAAGCCACCGGGTTCGGGACGCAAACCACGGTCAACTACATGGGAGTCCAGTGACACAGTCATTATGCTAACTGCTGGTCCCAAATAAAATAATTCTTAAAAACAAAACAAAACAAAACAAAACTGAAGCCCTCAATCCAATAGGTTAAAGAAAAAGATTCTGCCAACAATCACATGAGTGAGCATGGAAGTGGATCCTTTCCTAGTTGAGTCTGGAGATGACCACACCCTAAATGACCTTGATTACGGCCTGTGAGAGACTCTGAGTCAGAGAACTCAGTTCCACTGTGCCTGGAGTGCTGAACCACAGAAACTGTGAGATAATGTTTGTAGTTTTAAGTCACTATGTTTTAGGACAACTGATTATGCAACAATAGATAACTAATACATAAAGGAGAATCAAGAGACAATATAGTACAGTCTCAAAAAATATCAGACTATAATTCTGACTCTTTCATTTGTTAGCATATTTTTTGACAAATCATGTAACCTAAGTGAAACTGTTTCCTTTTCTGTAAAATGAGTTTAATAATAATACCTATTGGGGCAGCAGGTGCTGTGGTGGTTGAGGCACTAGATTCCCATATGGCTGACTGCAGTTTGAGTCCTGGACCTGTTGGCTTGCTTTCTCACTTTCTCTCTTTCTCTCTCTGTCCTCTCTGGTGACCATGAAAATAATAATAATGAATAAAATTAAATAAATATTTCTTTAAGAAAAAAAGTAATGACTATTTTCATGTTTTAAGGTGAAGACCAAAGGTGATAGCATATGTGAGAACACATTATATACCTACCAGTGTCAATTATTCCTTCTACTCTAAGATTTAAATTTGATCATTTCAAATGTCCCTTCAAAAGATACCATATTATAGTGCTAATTTTCCTACAAAGTTTCTTATTAAAGTTGAGTCTTAAATTTAAAACATAAGAGTAAAAGGTATAATGCCCTGAAGGAATACCAATTTCTGGAGCAAGTAGAAAGTGCAACTCAAGGGGCTGGCAGGTGATGTGGACTCCCACGTGGCCGACCGTGGTTTGAGTCCTAAACTTGGTGGCTTGCTTTCTCATCTTCCCTCTCTCTCTCACTCTGTCTATCCCTGGTCAAATTAAAATAAATAAAGTTAAATAAAATAATGCTTGTTTTTTTTTTTTTGAAAAAAGTGCAACTCGCGTGAACTTAAAAAAAAAGGATATAGAAAATGTTTCTACTCTGCTGAAAAAGGCTTCTTTGCTTGTAGATTCCAATGATGGCTGTTCTGCCTGGGGTGATCCATCAGCTGACTGGAATGTGGCCGACGTGTCCTTCCTAAAACAGAGTGGAAGAAATACTAGTAATCCTTTCATGGTACCATGCTGGTCACATGTTTTAAATTGAGCTTCTCTATATATCACATCATTAACCACACTGAAACTATATTATGAACTTCATAAAAATTATTTCAGTCATGTCATTCTTCTGCTTACCAGTTTCATAATATTGGGTCATTGGGGAAGTCATGACATATTTTTCCATGTTTCTCTATGTAAAAATATGTCAAGACTTTTCCAATGACTCAATACTAAATAGGATCCAAATTCCTTAGTCCGGCATTGAAACTCTTTCCAATATCTAAGTTCTAATTAATTTCTTCTTCTACAGCACTTCATTAATACTGGAAAACCATTTTGGTTCACTTGCTGTTCTGCAACAGAATTTTATATAACTTTAGTAAATCCAAAATAAAACACTCAAGACTTCACATTATACACATTATACAATTTGAACTATAAATGGTAGCAGGAAAACAAACCAAAAAACAGCAGAAGAGACAGCAGGTGGCATAATGGTTAAGGCACTGGACTTCCACATGGCTGTGATTCGACTTCCAGATCCGTCAACGTGAAACTCACACCGGGCATGTGTGTATGCATGCCCAAAATCCCAAAAGGAGAATTGAGGAGAAGTGATTGAGGTGTGTGCATCCCCCTGGGCGTGATTTCTCACTTTCTCTCTCTCTGTTTCTCTCTGTGTCTCTGGCAAGCACATGCACCCTATAGCAAAAATCTCTCTAAAAGAAAAAAAAAAATCAGAAATGTTTCATACTTCTACCTGGATCAACTCTTGAAACCCTTGTCCTTTAGAAAAAAGAACCAATCAAATTAAAGATGTTTAGGCTATTTCATGATAAAAGTAGGGGAGAAAAAAATCCGCGAAGTAATTCTCTCATTTTAGTAAAAGACGTTTCACTTAGTAAAAGGTCTCTTTTGGTTTGTCATAGGGTGTGTGTATGTGTGCTTGCAAGAGAGAAGACAGATACAGAGAGAGGGCAAGTGAGAAATCACCCTTCAGGGGGATGGCAATGTTGTAATCACCCTTTCCTTCCAACTCCTCTTGGGATTTTAGGCATGCATCCTCGCCCACCAGGTTTGGAACTCAAACTGTGGCCTTTTCAGTAAAAAGCACCTGGTGGGAGGTGCAATTGTTAAAAGATGAGAGTCATTATAATACTTGGAAGAAATAAAAATCTTTCTCAGAGGTCCACAGAGAACCTTGGGAGGTGTGGTTTTTGAAATAGAAATGCAAAGGTTCCATAAACTTGTAGAAAAAAAAAACCTGACATTTATTTCATTAACCGATAGAAAAAAAAAAAACCTGACATTTATTTCATTAACCTCTAAGTCTCGGCATTTCCTTCAATTATTTATGGGGATAAAAAACCCTGGTTGGGGGAGCCAGCAGGTGGCCTGGTGGTTAAGGTGCTGGACTCCCACATGGTCAACTGCTGTCCTGGATCTGTGGCTTAAAATTCACACTAGGGAACTAGACTGTGGTTACGTCACTGGACTACCATGTAATCAAGTTCCAGAACCAATGGCTTGAGATTCACGTGTACATGCATGCCCAGAATCCCAAGAGGGGAATGCAGAAGAAGGGACTGTGGTATGGCCATCTCTCCCCCCTGACACCCCTCCCTCACACCGTGTGTGTGTGTGTGTGTGTGTGTGTGTGTGTGTTCTCGCTTTCTGTCTCTATGTCTGTCTCTGTATGTCTGGCGAGGGCAAGTGCCCTATAACAAAAATCTCAAAAAAAAAAAAAAAAAGGGGGGGGGGGGAACCAGCAGTTAGAGTAATGGCTATGTCGCTGGAGTCCCACATAGTCGACCGCGGTTCACGTCCCGGACCCGGTGGCTTGTGCGTGCATGCCCAAGATCCCGAGAAGAGAACGGAGGAGAAGGGATTGCGGCGTGACCATCCCCCCTGGGGGGTGATTTCTCACTTTCTGTCTCTATGTCTCTCTTTGTCTGTCTGGCGAGCGCACGTGCCCTATAGCGAAAACCTCTCAAAACTAAAAGAAAAAATTCACACCAGGTAGTTGTGCGAGCCCAAAATTCCAAGAGGAAAAGTGATTGCAGCATATCCCCACCCCTGCTGCCCCCAGGGTGATTTCTCACTTTCTCTCTCACTATCTCTGTTTCTGGCAAGGCAGGTGCCCTATGGAAAACCCTTAAAAAAAAAAAAAAAGGTAGTATTAGTAGTATAGTACCTGTGAATTTGTCACAGTGGAAATGAGTTTCTCACATCAAGATTGTTTTATGTTTTAAAATACTATTTATGCTCATCACTACTTTAAAATTAGGTTGGTCAGATATGCTACTAGATCTTGGTTAATGCTTTAGTAAGGAAGCACGTTTAAAATTTTTCTTTTACTGTCTGTATAACTATATTATAATGCCATTGGTTTCCTTTAAAATTTTGTGTGACTCACTTTATGCCTTTAAAAATATTATTCTGATAAGGGGTTCATAAGCTTCACCTGACAGCTGATGGGGTCCCTGGCACACAAAACAAGGTTAATAACCCCAGCTAAGAGAAGGTGAGCTCCGTTTTTCCTCCCCAAAATACTGTAAGCCAAACTACGCCCATGGTGCAGAATCCGGTCCACTTCGAGAAGACTTAAGTATAACAAATAAAGAGAAGTAACCCCAACTTCTTTCAGATCCCGAGAAGAGGCCATCCCCACCGCCCAAGTCGCCAACGGAGGGTACCCCCACGCCCAGCCCGGTTCTAAGCCTGTGTTCCTTAAACCCTCTCCTGACTTCCAACGCCAGACCCAGGGTTAGCTCGCGAACTCACGCGTCCGCGCCTCCCTCTTCGGGGGCAATCCCCTCATCTATCAGCTGCCGGATTTTCTGTGGGGTCCCTTCTGGAGAGCGAATGACTGCACCCCAATTCTTTTCAACCCCCGCGGCAAACGCTTGCCCCTCACTGGGCGCCGCCATCTTGGTCCGTTTCCCAGCGGCTTCCCCGCGGGTTGAAGGCTCAGGCACTTCCGTTCTGGTGGGTTAAAATCCGCTGCTTGAGGCAGCCTCCAGGTGGCGAGAATCGCACTGCGAGACCCACCCCTTCCTAGTCATTCTAGGATGAGGGTTTCAGGACTGTAGTGGTTAGAGATAGACCTAGATAAATTGTTTCCTTTTTGATCTAACATTTTTAGATCAATAAGGGATTTTTAGAGTGATGTTTCTCCAAATTCAGCGGGAGTCAGGAGCCAATTTAATCGTCAAGTAGTTAACTCATATGGCTCTCCTGAATTTACAATACAGTTTGCACTGGCCAGAGAGACAGTGGAAGAGATAGTGAGAAATCACCCGCTTCCTCCCCCAGCCCCCAGGGGAGGATAAGCACGCTGCAATCCCTTCTCCCCTATTCTCCCCTGGAGATTTTGGGTGTGTGTGCACATGTGCCCTGTGTGATTTTCAAGCCTCCAGGTCTGGGATTCTAACCACAGTCTACCGTTTGGGAGTCCAGCGCCTTCATCACTATGCCACCTGTTTTTATGGTTTTAAAATTATGATTAAAAGTGCTCCAAAAGCCAAGCCCCAAGTATAATAGAGAGACCTAATTTCACTTGCAGATTCTCCTGAGAGAATCTGGTGCTAGAGTTGAGATGTTTAGGGATGAAATCTGCACAGAATCTAACAGAACCCCAGATAGGAAGGCTGATGTGATATAGTTGAACAACTGGGCAATACGATTCGCTCCTACCCTTCTAGCCTACTCCCTAAGGGCTACTGACTCCACCAATGTTCCCAGCCACCAGAACCTACAACCCACTGATCTAACCATCTTCCTACCTTTCCCCACTGCAGTAGGACATGTGGAAGTCCAGTGCCTTAACCAACAAGTCACCTGCTAGCTGCAGAATTGTTCCTTTTAAAACCATAATAATGGCATTGCCGTTGTGGATTTGAAAAGTCTTTTATTGGAGGTATAGGGTAGAGGTATTCAAAAAGTTCATAGAAAATGTATATTGTGGAAAAAACTATGTATGGGTTTCAAAAATTGGGGCACCAAAATAGATTCATACCTTAAATTCATTTTCCACCCGCTTTTTGAAGTCTTTCTGTGCATCTTGAAGTATTTATGGGATAAGCACTTTCATCAGAGTCTTGATAACACAATCCTCCCCCTAGCTCTGAGAGGTACTTTCAACTTTCTCTCTCTGCCTCTCTCTAGCAGGAAAATAAAAAAAGTTACTTATGTGCATAAATTGTTTGTAAACTTCTTATGCTTATAGTGCTTAAACAAATATGAAATCAGAACAAATTTATAAACTGAATAACCACAAACTCAAAACAACTCACGTTATTGACATTAATGCATGCTGATAAATGATGTTGCTTTGCTGAGATATAATCGCCAGTGCTGGGAAAAGTTGAAAACTATAGCTTCAATTTAGGTTATTTAAATTGCTTATGTGACTTGGTTTTGATAGTAACACATGCAGAGAAGGCTTGTTCACATTAGCTAGTCATGCCAAAAATACAAAATGGTGTGTATAATTTCAAGACTTTGTTTATTTCAAGATCATCAGACTTAATACTTCAACAAAAACTTCACCAGACAGCATTCCTCTAATGTTAATGTAATAAGATCTGATGTGACATCTTCATAAAACTGTCTTGTTCCCTTGTAGTTAAGTTAGCATTACTTAAATCTGCATTAAATGAGAATCTAAATCAATTATTGCTGGAATTGGGAACAGGAAATAATATCTAGACTTCAAATTCAGTTATCTCAGATGTTGAAAAAAATCTGTCTAGTATCAACCCAGAATGTTCTACTAGATTGTTAAAGAAATAAGTACTCAAATACTCATTTGCATAATTAAGCAAATGATCGGCTATTGATCAATTTTCTTTCCAAACATCCACCCTTTGTTTGTTTTTTGCTATAGGGCATATGCACTTGCTGGAGAGACAGAAACAGAGAAAGAGAGGGAGAGAGAGAAAGTGAGAAATCACACACACACACACACACACACACACACACACAGCAGAAATGACCACACCTCAATCCCTTCTCTAAATCTCTTGCGATGTGGGGCAGTCATGCCACGTGCCTGGCATATTTTTCGAGCCGTGGGGGTCTGGGATTCCAGCTGCACAGTCTGTGGGCCATATAGAATCCAGATACCTTAACCAAGCCACACCATGGGCTGCATCCTAGACAGCTAGTTTTTACTGACCTTGGAACGTGAGGACCACTGTGAAAAACTTGAGTTTAGGCTGTCCACTGTGAGGTTATGCAGGCTTCATTTGGATATTTATGTGTTACACAGCAGCCTTTATCCTTTCTCCTTAGCCTGCAACAGCTGAAGTAATATGTTGCTGCATCGCATGGTGTCATTTGCATGATGCCAGGTAAAAAATTAAACTTACTAAATAACTTAAATAACTAAAGGCAACAATGTAATACACTGTAAAGTTATATGTAATCCAATGTAATATGAAGAAGATATGATGATAAAAAATAAAAAAAAAATAACTAAAGGCTCATTCTATTTCAGTCTTTGAGTTATAAAACACCACAATGTTATACCACTACGAGAATATCATTTTTTGTTTGTTTGTTTGTTTACTTTTGGAGAGGTTTTTACTATAGGGCACGTGCGCTCGCGAGACAGAGAGAGACAGAGAGACAGAAAGCGAGAAATACCCACTGGGGGGATGGCCACGCCGCAATCTCTTCTCTTACATTCTCCTCTCGGGATCTTGGGCACGCACGCACACGTGCCCGGCATGAGTTTAAGCCACAGGGTCCGGGATATGAGGCCAGGGAAATAACCATTATTCTACCTGCTGGTCCCAAGAATATCTTTTTTTTTTTTTAAGAGAGAATTTTTTTGCTATAGGGCGGGTGTGCGCTCACTAGGGAGACAGAGAGACAGAAAGCCAGAAATCATCCCCCAGGGGGATGGCCATATCGCAGTCCCTTCTCTTCCATTCTTCTCTTGGGATTTTGGGCATGCACACACATATGCGCCTGGTGTAAGTTTTAAGACAGCAGGTCTGGGACTCAAAGAGCTGTCTCAGACCACGTAACCAGGTAAATGGTTACATGGGAGTCCAGCGACGTAACCATTACACCATCTCCAAGATGGTCTCTGGATCCAGGACGTGAACCGCGGTCGACTACATGGGAGTCAGCAACATAGCCATTATGCTAACTGCTGGTCTCCAAGAACATTATCTTTAAAAATTGATGGTTGTAGGGACCAGCAGTTGGCATAAGGTCTATGTTGCTGGACTCCCATGTAGTCGACGGCAGTTTGAGTCTTGGACCTGGCAGCTTAAACTCACACTAGGCGCGTGTGCGCGCATGCTCAAGATCCCATGAGAAGACTGGAGGAGAAGGGATTGTGGTGTGGCCATCCCCCCTGGGGGAGTGATTTCTCGCCTTCTCTCTCTCTCTGTCTCTCTCTGTCTGTCTGGTGAGTGCACGTGCCCTATAGCAAAAAGCTCTCAAAAAATAAAAAAAATGATGGTTATATGGGGCCAGCAGATGGGGTAGAGGTTAGGGTGCCTGTATCACACATGGCCAACTTCATGGTTCAAGTCTCAGACCTGGCGTAGTGTGCCCAAAATCCTGGAAGGAGAATGGAGAAGAAATTGTGGCACGGCCATCCTCCCTAAGGTTGTGATCTCTCACTTTCTCACCTCTCTCTGGTGAGCATACAGGCCTATAACAAACTAAAGACACAAACAGCTAATCAAACAAAAGACAGAAAAAGATAGTTATAAAGTCATGTGACTTAGTGCTATAACTGTATTGTATTTATATATGTGTGTGTATACACACACACTCACACACACACATATATATATATATATATTTTTTTTTTTTGAGAGAGAGATTTTTGGCTATAGAACACGTGCCTGCCAGAGAGACAGAAAGTGAGAAATCACCCCTGGGAGGGATGGCCACACTGTAATCCCTTCTCCTCCATTCTCCTCTTGGCACACACACACATGCACCCAGCGTGAGTTTCAAGCTACCTGGTCCGGAACTCAAACCACGTTGACCATGTGGGAGTCCAACCCTTCAACCACTACACCCCCTTCTGGCCCTTATTTTTATATTTTATGCCGCAGGGTGCATGTGCATAAATGAGAGCAAGAGCATCTCCAATGGAGTATGATCATACATCAATCCTTCTTCTTTCAGTTCTCCATCTCGTTAGGATCCTGGGCATGCAAATGCTTGTCCTATGTGCTTTTTTAATTGCTGGGGCCAGATTACAATCCATATCAGCAATGTGGGGTCTGCTTCCTCTGCAGATTGCCCAACTGCTGTGCTATGGGGCCAGCCTTGCATTATACTTATGTCTAAACAGGAATCCCAGTCATTGGCTATGTTGCTCTCAAACACACAATGCAGCCTGACAGCTCTTTGGTAGGGAAGGTAGAAGATATTGGGGGCAAGGTCTTTTCTGTGAGGTTGCTTCCTATGGACTCCTTTACCCATGGTGGGGGATGGATAGCCTCCAGTATAAATCCTGAACCCAATTCTCTGTAGTTGGAGTGATCTTTGAAAACATAAGTCTGGGGGCCAGCAGGTGGTGAGGTGGTTAAAGGCGCTAGACTCCCACATGGCCAACCAAGATTTGAGTTCCAAACCTGGCAGTTTGCTTTCTCACTTTCTCTCTCTCTCTCTCATTCTGTCCTTCTCTGGTCAAATTAAAATAAATAGATAAATAAATAAAGTTAAATAATTGTTCAAAAAAAAAAAAAAAACCCATAAATCTGATCATGTCACCTTTCTGCTTAGAGCTTTCCATGCCCTCTCCATCCACGGAATTCAGCTTAAGCTCCTTGATGAGGCTTATCTTTCGAATGCCAACTCAAGCAGAGTTGTTTACTGTCTCCTTTATTCCAGAATGAAATTTTGGTATTGTGTTTAGATAGCAAAGCCCAAGGTTTATTTTTTCCAAACCTTAAAGGCCAACTTAG